ATCTCCAGTCGTATTTATTATTTAATACTACATATAATAGTCATGTTTTTAAAAGGGGATACAAAAGTATACTTCGTTTATGATGATTATAAGACAACCTTAAAGAAGATTCAGATTGCATTGCAAAATAGGAAATAGAATAATATATTTCGTTGCTAATTGGTCGCATAAACTTTGCGTCAATTATGCATAAACAGCTTATTTTATTTATTTTAACAAGGATTTAAATAGAAATTTTGCATGGACAATGTTTCGGATACATACATAGGATACTTTATATCTTAATAATTCGTATCAATATAATAATGAAATTAAGATATTGTGGGCATTCGCTAGCTATCGTTGCCATAAAATTTCACTACTGGGATTACTGGGAATAGCCTCTTCACATCGTAGAAGAACTCTTAAAACTTAATCTACCGTACGAGCTTAACGAGGGTTGGTAATTGGTAGTTAGTGGCTATTAGGTTGCGATATCCACATCCTCTAATTACATACATCAATATACACAAAAGCTAACAAACCACAATACTTGAAATATTTTTTAAATGCTGGCCTACATTTCAAAACCTTAAAATACTAGTTTGAAAAATATAACCTGCTAATAGTTCAATCCAACAGGATTCAAACAATTCGCATCTCTCAATTATTCGGGCTGAGTGAATTCTCACTTATAACACGAATAAAATAGTAATATTATCAAGTAGTAATAGTATCAGGAATCAAATTATTCTAAAATATTCAATCTAGTATATTTCAAGCCATAATGTACCCATTCAAGTAATGATTAAACTTAACCTTGTTTGACTTACAAGCTCGACGCACAGCAACGAGAGCGACTAAGCTGTGAGCACAGTTGTACATTAGGTCAAATATTGCAAAAATCTAGTCATTATCGACCAAGTATTTTAATCTCTCAAGATCCTATTTCAAATAATCAGTCCAAAATTATGGATTTGAAACGTAAACATATTAAATATCGATTATATTTCTTTTACAAAAATGTAAAAAATAAAATAAAAGCAATAAACATCTTATCGTTCAAATTTAACGATTGTAAATGGTTTTTAAATAAAACTTCCATACCAATTATAATTGACTTTCTAATCAATGTAACGTTACCATATTAATAAACATACCTCTATATCTATTATACAATGTAATTATAATATTTAAGAAATAGACAGCCAAATTGTAATAATTCAACTGGCGATTTTATATTAGATATTCAGTGAACGAAAATAATTATTAATATTCACAGTAGATACAATTTAGATTTTTATTTTTAATGTAATTTATGAGTATAAAGATGAGACGCCAATTTTAATATTAGTCATTAAAGATTACAAAATGCAAATATTCGATATTTTATCTGTAAATTAATGTATATAATACGAACGATTTTATTGATAGAGAAAAAATGAATAGTTATTCGTACTTATAACGCTCGATATTCATTAATGTGACAGTAACGATTCTTCATAATGTCTTAAAATTTATGTAATTAATTTATAAATATAGTTTTAGGACGTTATTTACGAGTCTTGTTTAATAACAAATTAGTAGTCGATGAGTTAAGGTATTTGTTATAAATTATGATGAATTTGATAAAGGAAAATTCGTTTTGTAGTCAACGTTTTAGATATAAGAAATTGAAATACTCATTGCTGTCCTATTGATGGATCCCACGAAGACGATAGTTGAATAAAAAAATAAAATATTTGTGCCAAATTGTTTGTTTTAATTATACCTTATTTAGAAACATATTCTTACTAAGATCACAGTATAAGTAATAGTACAAAACTACAGTATAGACACTCCCTGCCGCCCACTCTGATCTGACTTCACCCCCTCTCAAACACGCGTCAGCTACCATACTCTAATGGATGTCTCTAGTCTACGCTTCAATTAATCTAGAGGATCCGCCTTTTAGATAAATGGTAAACAAATTTATTGGAAGATATGTTCTTTAGCTTAAGCATGAGAAAGGATAAGAGGTTATATACTGCTCTCTCGTTTTATTTCTTACTCGGGAAAGCGAAAATATCTTCCTAAAGACCGAAGTTAAGTTGATGTATCAGTTATAATTACTTAATAAGTAAAGTTATCAATAACAGTTTGTTATTGCATCTATATATTCCATTGTTTCTGCCTATTATAATGAAAGACAGACGTGACAGGTATGTATGTATGTATATAATGAGCAAAGTCAAACTTAACATTAACTGGTTCAAAAAGAAATATTACTAATGAGATCTTTTATTTACTTGTAGCTTTCTTTACGAAACGATTACTATTTAGAATATTTTTTCTTATTCAATTTAATAAAAGTGAACCGTAATTTTGAAGAATAAAATCTATATCTTAACCTACATTTTACTTTAGAAGTTTCAATATGAAATTTGATAATATTGGTGTCCCTTTCTTCAATAACGTAAATTCCTTTTCTTTGCTTCGTTATTAAGATTCTAAGTAGATACTTTTCAAGCAAATCCCTATACAATGAAATTAATTAAGTATAATTTAAAAGATAATTTTACGGATTCTAAAAAAAGCAAACCAGTTTATAAAATAGACACTATGCTTTAGCTATGTTCATTATCTGAGTTATCAGGATATATTATTTGTTCAATGTCAAGTACATTTAAGCAAAAGTAATAAAAAAATAAATTCACATAATGTTTCATATTCGTAAGGATGCAAAAAAATGTAATCAGCGATAGTTATTACAATGACAAATATTTATTAATATTTGTCTACTGCTCCAGAGATCTCTGAATCAACAAAAACAAACCCAAATAGCTGAATATTCAAAATTCGTGTTTGGATCATGTTACACATTATTAGTAAAATTGAAAATCTAATTTAGGTGGGAACTGATAGATAGAGAACTAAGCTAAGTTCTGTTAACTCAGTTTAGGCACGAGCTTATGAGATTTATTGACAATACCCGTTTGACAAATAATATCGAACGGTTAATTTTGAGGCACTATTTTACCTACAGCTAATTCATGTTCACCGTAGACCTTATTACTGATACACTATTTTTTATTATAGATATAATACAATTAGATCTGTTGAATACAAATCGTTTCTTACGTTAAAGATGTTACAGATATAATATAATAAGGAGAATTGTATATTGCAGAAATGTAAAAAATAATTAATAAAAGTAAGTATAAGATACCTGCTGCAGATTTTCACCATCGTACAACCCGCCATAAAAGGAAAATTTCATCCCAACCATTGGAGAAGTGGCGGTCCTTACCGTGCGTTTTTCAAGAATACTATTCTCTTAAATATGAACAAGCATTGGAATCGTTTCAACAGCTTTTTTTTTCTAAAACCGATACGATATATAACCTTCAAGAAAAGAGCATATTGAAATTTTTTAAAAAGCACACCTACAATGCCGTAGGTGTTTTCAATCGCAGTCACTTACCATCAGGTGAACCGCATGCTCGTTTGAAAAATGTGTTGTAAAAAGTTTTGGAAAGAAAATAGAATACTATTTCTTAAATATGAACAAAGCATTAAATCGTTAATAACTATTTCTTTTTTTATTCTAAAACTTTAATACGATATATTTAACGCAAAACATTTAGGCGTAGAAAAGTATTGAAATTTTGTTAGTTAAAAAAACACCAGCAATTTCAATCGCATGATACCAATACTAGAGTGAACTAAATGTACTTGAAAAATAATTATTTAAATTAATTTAAAATTGGCGAAGTTATCGCTCAATACATATACACACACACACACACACACACACACTCTCTCACACACACACACACACACACAATAGATTCCAATTAAGAACCTCTTGCATTTTAAAGTCATTTATGGATTACTCTCATTATGATACATATTATCAAAAAATTATAATGTGTATTATAATGAGAGTAATTCCTTACAGTCACTCTCGATTGATAAAAAAAAAATACCAAACCGGTTTACAATAATTAGGTTTAAAATAATTGACAAGATAACACACAGACAAAAAATCTGGAAACGTAACAAGCTCTTTTTTATTACAATTTTTTTTATTTATTTTAAAATGATTAAATTTTATTGAATAACCTGTTTAAGAATAATGATGAGATTCCAGTGATTAATGACGATATAATATACGCGTGGCATCGATATTCATCATCTATCAAAAATCATCTATGAATATTTGTTGAGTACGATAAATTTAATTAATCAAATAAGTAGGTAAGCTGTTATATTCTTAAAATATTTTCCAATTTAAACCTATTTTTTATATGTAATATTTTATATCAACTTTATTTTACTGTTAAAACTTATTACCCAGGAAAGCGTTGATATTATTGTTCTCGGAACAAAATTCTGACAATGATCACAATATATGTTATTTGGTATATAGCTTATAAAATGAAAGAAAGAAAAAGATGGGAATTTACACATTTCTTATCTTTTATATTTAATTCATAATCGTAGATTATGTACAGATTGTATTTAAATTATTTTTTTTAATAAAATTTGCATAAATATATATGATAATGTAGCTTTGTATAAGTTGAAGAATATATAAAATAGATTAATTATTTTTTGAATAAATTCCTAACTATATATATATATATATATATATATATATATATATATATATATATATGTTTTTAGGGACTGTTTGTTAGGTTAGTTGTCTTCTAAAAATCAATTAATGTTGTACGAAGCCGGGGTTGATTGCTAAAATTAATGAATAAGATACTTACTCAAAAATAAATTGCTCTTATAGGCATGATAGTAATCAAAACAATTTTTTTCTCAACATAAGTTAAGCATTTTAAAGAGTAAAATTGTTATTATATTAGCTAACTCTGTCTGTTGTCTGACATTTAAATATTATCTCGCACTTAGAGAAATTTCTTCAGATATTGAGTGTCTTGTCATTGCTCAGTTAATCTTTTTGAGCTACTATACATTACAGGTCTAAAAAATTATCTCAACCTTGGGAAGTAATTACAGCGCCAAAAATATAATTAATACTATTAATTACTATCAGTCTTTATATTTATATAAATAATATTGTTGTTTCTTATATATACGTATAACAATGAAACAAATTGTATCAATATTTTTTATTAGTAATTACTTAGAATTTGCTATTGCATCTATATGTTTATGGAATAGTGGATGCCCATATAACTATTTTTCGACAAAAACACCATATAGTGTAGTGAGAGGTGATATACGGGATTCATTAATTAAAGTACATGGTAAGTAATATAATTTTAAGTTCATATATAAAACTTAACTAGGATTTAAAGTATTCTATTTTATTTTTCGCCTCAATTATTATTGTGTATACTAAATCTCATAACAATTGTATGGGCAGTTAAGGCGCGTAGAGGTAACATACAAATACTGTTTTTCATATTTCTAGTACTAGGTACTAATAATAATAATAATATTGTAACTTCAAATTATTTCATATCTAGTTTCTTAAAGAATAGATAGAGAGAACCAAGTGTAAAGAGTTTGTAACGACTATTTCTCTTACTTCGTCCATTTATATAACTCATTTCATGTATATACTTCCAAAGGCTCTTATCTTGGATAGCACATAGTTCTTACTTCATATAGTTCATATAGCACATAGTAGTTATTCATTCTTCCATTTTCGTATTGCGTATCTGTTTCAATTTATATTTTTTTCATATGGCCAAACCAATTGGTTAATCACCCATTAAATTTTTTGTCATCAATTTATTTATTACAGGTTGCGAACCATACAGTATATGGGGTCTATTTAGACATGGGAAAACAAACCCTAGAGATGATATCGCCAAAAACATGGAAAAAGTTATTAACATACGTGATGATATATTAGTGAGCCAAAAAAAAGGAAATTGTTCTCTTTGCGCTCAAGATATAGATAATTTACGAAGTTGGACAAAAGAAAATAATATTTTTAATAGTCCTTATGGCCTTACCCACAATGGATTTAAGGAAATGGCTGCAATAAGCAACAGATTAAAACAAGCTTTTCCAAAATTATTGTCTGATCTTAATAATGGAAGTTATATATTTCGTCCAGCTGGGAGTCAAGAAATAATAGACAGCGCTGTAGGTTTCATCGATGGTTTAGAAAATAAAAAAATTATTATACAAAAACCTAAAATTAGTTTTGATGTTATGACTGTAAGTATTTTTAGTTTTACTGGACTTTATTAAAATTTAAAACAAAATTTTCAAGGTTTTCCTTGAAGACTACAGTAAGTATTTTTTCCTTGAATAAGACAAAGGTCGAAAATGCACGCATGATATCAAAAAGGATGTATACTTGTTTGCTACCGCAGCAGTATAAAAAAAAGATACAATATTATTGATGCAAGGTTTCTAAAAACAGGATTAACTACTACTACGTAACTTACAAAACAGACAATAAATTTATGGATGTTGTATATTTTTTGCATTTTTAATATGTTTACTACTAAAACTTATTAATTATTCACAGCCTTATGCAGCATGTGAAAAATATCAAATGGAAATAAAAAACAAATCAAGTCTATCGGTTGAAGCAAGTAAATACCAAAAATCGTCAGACTATTTAATGGTAAGTATTGAAAATATATTTTAAAAATTAACTGTGATTATTTTAAAATACTCTTTGCTATATTTTTTTTATTAAGGTTGTGTTATTTTGATTTTAAAACTAAACTACTGAATTGATTTTGTTAAATTTTTTATGGAACTAATGGGAAAATATTTACTTTTTGAATAAAAAAATAAAAATTCAAACCGGTTTATAATTGACAGAGTTATGAGGTAATAAACATAAAGAAATACAACCAAATTGAGGACCTCCTTTTTTGAAGCCTGTAGAAATTACGTTTTATTTTAGATGAAGGATAGAATTCAAAGAAGAACTGGTCTTGATTACACATTATCTGATGAAGACATTATGTCTGTATATGATTTGTGCCGTTATACATCAACTGGTTTCGGAAGTTTACCTAGCCCATGGTGTGCGTTATATACTACAGATGATTTGCAAATATTAGAATATGTAAAGGATTTGAATAATTATTATTACGATGGTTATGGAAGGGCAATAAATGAAAGATTAGGACAAATTCCGTTAGCAGATTTACTCGCTAAATTTCGTGAAGCCAAAGATGGTCAAGGAACAAAAGTGGTTGCGTATTTTGGCCACTCTAAAGTATTATCTATGCTTTATACTGCTCTTGGTGCATTTAAAGACAAACAACTTACCGGATCGCACAGAAATGATAACAGAAATTGGAGGAGCAGTAAATTGACAGCGTTCTCTGCGAACTTTATCGCTGTATTAAACAGGTTTGTTTTTAAAAGCTACTTTGTTTTTGCTTTTGTTATAATATATAGTTTATTATAAAGAAATAGTCACATTGATAGTAATTAGCAAATATGTATGTGTAACTAATACTTTTTGTTAATTATTCAAGGTGTACAAAAGATGGCGCAGAAGATTTTAATGTAGTATTTTATAGAAATGAAGAACCATTGAGATCTATCTGTGAACAAGGAATTTGCACTTGGCAAGAATTTGAAGATAAATTAAAACGTCACATTGATGATCCTACAGATTTGTGTGAATAATGCTGATTTTTATTATTACTTATACTGTTAATATTATAAAATAAATATTAAAAGGTTAGTTCTTTATTCTACGTTTTATTTTAATGAAAAATGCAATTACACACAATAATACAAAATAGTAATATTAAAAAATGATAATTCAATGAATCAACTTTTAATTACATACACATATCGGTCACGGCTGTCCTTTCAGTTACATATGAATATATTGTATTAATTTGGTTAGTATTCCTTTATTGAGAAAAGTCCAGATTATTAATATTACCTACTTATTTCCGTACCTACCTAATTTACAGAAATATAAAAGTAGTGTACTCTTTTATGCAATTTAGAATGACAAACAAGCTGACGGCCCACCAAATGGAAAGTGGTAACTGCCGCCTATAAACATAAACAGTACCACAGACATAACACAGTATATCGCCCATGATTATCGCGTTGCTATTCATTAGGACTAAGCTGTACCCTGTAAATTCACTGCCATATCCCACGGTTTAAACCGAAACATAGCCATGAAAATGTAGTATATGCTATTTTTGATAAATATATGTAAATATAGTTTGCGAAGACTAATATTAATATCAATATTTATGTAAAACTAATTTCTTTGTCATATTAATTGAAAAGAATGTTACTATTTCTATTAATATATTAGCTTTTTTATGAATTAGCAAAGAAACTGACGGTGCACCTGATGGAAATTGGTAACTGTATCCTATAGACAAAATACTTTGAGACGGCCCCTAATGCGTTGTCATTCTTCATGTCGTTATCCTTCCGTACCCTATAATTCTACTTTATACTCTTAATACAGTAATAAAATTGTAAAGAAGATAATTTTATACATATCTATATATGTGTGTAGATATGTAATGGGATAGATTTTTTTTTTTTAATTTTAAGCAGCAAAAGGATATTCTTTACTGTATGTTAATCGATTACATCATCAATTCTAAACCGATTTTGATAATTCTTTTCGCAATCAATAGGTATTACTGCTGTGATCCTGGTTCCCTATTAATTTTGTGATGACTGAACCGTTTTTCTTTGCGGATCAAAAGATTGCTTTTTGCGAAGCAAAATATACTTATAAACATTCATCTCTGCGTTCTAAATTCAAATATTTGTCATAAATGAGGTTGCTTTTATGAGAAGCAAAACATACTTATTTTTAATATTATAAAAAAAAATAGAATATGAAGATAAAATATATCTTGTATTCTATTTTTGTTTTTTATGTTTGTTTTGTTATTTTGTTATATATAAATGAATTCATGCTAATGGTCAAATTAAGTTAAGCTAATAATAATGTTTGTGATGTTAATTACGGATATTTTGCAGAATTTCAAGTTTATAATGATAGGAAAATGCTTTTGAATTGTACCAACATTTTATTTATACTAATATCATAAAAAGGAAAAATTTTATTGTTTATATGTTTGTTTGTTTGCCGTGTAGTACCGGCATAGATTAGGCCACTCGTTTCTTTTCTGTGGACGTCGTAAGAGGCAACTAAAGATATTTAATCAAGGGATGAACAGCGTCCCCCTTTAATACATCACCTAAGCCTAACTGATGATGATCGTGGACAGAGCTGAACACAATAGACCAAATATAATGACAATCGGCAACTGTGAAGTTGTTACGAGTTACGTATACCTTGGTTCCACGATCACAAATACTGGAGGATGCGAGGACGAAATAAAAAGGAGATGTGCTATCACAAAAACAGCTGTGAGTAAACTGCATAAAATCTGGAAGAACCGCAATATTACAAAGAACACCAAAATGCATATAATGAGGAGTTTGGTTTTTCCAATTTTTCTGTATAGTGCAGAAACTTGGACGATCAGGCAACAAGAACGCCGAAAAATTGATGCTCTAGAGATGTGGTGCTGGCGACGACTGCTGCAAATACCTTGGACTGCCTTTCGAACTAACATTTCCATTCTGAACGAACTGAAAATCAGAGAGAGATTGTCGTCAACTGTTCGTATACGAATTCTCAAATACTTCGGCCATATCATCCGGAATGAAGATTGTATGGAACGTTTAATTGTCCAAGGAGCGGTACAAGGCAAACGTTCTCGGGGTAGATCGCCAACGCGATGGACTGACCTCATCAAAACGGCCACACAGAAATCTATTGTGGAGTGCTCTCGCTCGGCGGCGAACAGAAGTAGATGGAGACATATTGCGAGGACCTCAATCGCGAAGGAGAGGCTCACCGACGATCCACCGTCATTGTGAAAACCACGACCACTCTGCCAAGAGTGTACGACTGAAGAGAGAAGCCTAACTACGATTGCCGATCCGCCTATCAAGCACGGCATTTACTGGTAAAACCCATTTTATAGGGGATGCCTATGTTCAGCAGTGGACAGTTAACGGTTGACATGGTATGGTATGTTTATTTGTAATAGATAATTTCAAAAACTACTTAAACGAGTTGAAAACTCTTTCACCTATAATTATATAGATCGATAATAATGTAGCTGATGCTAAACATTGATTAACATGGAACATATATTAATTTCGAAAATCATGTCAATCCGTGCGAAGCCGGGCGAGGTCACTTGTTTTAATAAGTATATTACCGGTTTCAGTATATACTACTCGTACATAGTACTCTAAAAACTAGTACTCTACAACAGTATTTACAATACTCGTGATTATAAGGTTCTATTATGAGTTGTTTTAGTTCTAGCTATTAATGTAATATGGATATGGATTTAATAAAACATTTACGCAAATATACATAAAAAAAATTGAGATCCACAAAAGAATCCTATTTCAATTGTGGCAAAACCAGTTATTTTGATTTAAAAACTAAACTACTGAACAAATATTGAATGAAATAAATGTTGGCTCAATCGGAAAGTATATTTAATAGATTTATAAGGGATAGAATAATGAGGTAACAAACATAAAAAGTATATAATCGAATTGAGAACATATTCCTTTTTTGAAATCGATAAAAGACTTATGATCAATAATAGGTACAAACCTCCTAAATAGTATGTGGGTTATATGCCGTAGCAATCTGCAACAAGAATATGATCGTAATTGGAAATATAAAAATTATTCCTTTTTTAAAATAGCACTATAACAACTGTGTCGGGTACTTCGCTAAATACTATATGATTTTATTCAGTTCTATATGTTATTAAATTTTAATAAATGAAAAATAAAATGTGATTAATGTTTTATTTTCTACTACGCTATTTTTAAGGATGGACGATTTACACAAACATAATTATGAAGAGAAGCGACGAAAACAGCCTGAAATCACTTTCATTTCGTTATACTTAGAACATCGTTTAAAAGTTTCAGGTGTAACTGAAATGAAATGAGTATGAGCATGAAATTATTTATGAAATGAAATTATGTATTAAAATCTCATCGTCGTTTTATTTTTGTAGATATCAAGGTATTTATGTCTATAAATCAAAAGTCTTATAAAATTAAAACTTAAACCAATGCAGAAATAAACTAGATAAAAAAGGAATAATCAAAATCGATTAAAAATTACGAATATAGTTACCGTATAATTGAACATCTCTAAATTAGGTAAGGCATTAAATAGTTTTATAATTACCGGCATTTAATTTAAAATCAAATAATAAGAGAAAGTTTTGCTTCTACTTATTATCTATACAAATATCATAAAGGTAAAGTTTACATTGTTTTTTTTTTAAATGGATAAATTATAAACAATTCAACCGATTTTAAAAAATTCTTGTATCTATAAAAACTACATTATTAACGAGTAATATAGGCTATATATTATTTTATAAATTGTATTTATCTGTACGAAGCTAGGTCAGATCCTTAGTACTAAACAAATTATAAATTCATATAAAAATATCACTAGCCAGAGAAATTTATTATTATGTATTTATCTTTGCCATTATAAGTCTCATAAAGTTATTACCATTTTACTTATTTGCTCTAAGTTTTAGTTGCCACTGTTTGGGGAAAATAGCGAAAAGACACATCTGCACTCGTAAACTAATATACAGCAAGAAAGCCAGAAAGATACACATTTACTCTCGTTTAATGAATAGTCAATGGCGCCTACGGCGTGTGGTACTTATAATGCAATTATTTACCACGTAAGTAACATAATTAAATAAGTACCGGTAGTATTCTATATATATATAGTATAATAGTGTATTGTTTATACCTTAAGACCCGTACAACCGTTGAAAGTTTCCACTCAGTGAAATGAACGACACGCGAATCCACAGAAGATGAATTCAGAAACACAGAACTTTATGCACGTATAAGAATACATGAATATGTATCCCACGTGAAGAGTATTAAAGTCTGTTATCATGTTTGAAATGTCCAATCGGAGAATTAACTATTTTTCTAATTATGTTCGTATATCGTTCAAATCAAAACAATAGATCTAAAACTAATATTATAAAGATGATAGATTTTATTTTTAGTTTATAAGAAATAAACTCAAAAACCAATTTTAAAAATTCTTACATTTATAGAAAACCATATTAAGAGTGAATGTGGGGTATATTTTATTAAAAATATATCTATATTATTTTATATTATATATAAATAGAAACCTTATACCTGTCTACCCGTGCAAAACCTGGGTGGGTAACTTGTAAAAAATAAATACAGAACTCTGCTTAGATTGAGCTCAACGGCGAAGTGATGATATTTAATTCATTAATTGATGTGGGGTTGACAGGTCGCCGTCGCCATTCTAATGTGTAAATATTATATGTAGATTCATTGTTTCGTTTGGGGAGATTTCATTCATCATCTAGTATACAAACGGCTATGTATTGATTATTGACGTCAGTAGCTAAGTAAATGTATTTTGGCATAATAAGTAGTTTTTTATACTGTGATAATGATACATTTATAAGTTTTCAAAAATCTCTGTAAGAAAAGAACTGCGTAAAATCAGGAAGTTAGCTTTCAAAATACAGTTGTACATTAGAAGAGTGAATTATTTTGAATAAAAACCGTCTGTCTCTGCGTTAAATTTTATTCAAATTTGGTTTTCTCGTTTTAATATAATTGATATATGATGATAA